GGGATAGATAGATAGATAGATAGATAGATAGATAGATAGATAGATAGATAGATAGATAGATAGATAGATAGATAGATAGATAGATGATAGATAGATAGGAGAGAGAGAGAGAGAGAGAGAGAGAGAGAGAGAGAGAGAGAGAGAGAGAGAGAGAGAGATGGATCAGGGTCTTCAAACTTGACCCCTTTAAGACTTGTGGACTTCCACTCCCAGAATTCCTCCTCCAGTCATGTTAGCTCAGGAATTCTGGGAGTTGAAGTCCACAAGTCTTAAACTTGCCAAGTCTGAAGACCCTTGCTATATAGCTTGTATGGCCAAAATGATGGCCAAGAAAGTCGCACTGTGTTCCGTTGTTTTTAATGTTTATTCAATAAAATTTATTTTAAAAAATTAAACATAAAAAAGAGGGAGAAGTAGAAAATTAAATAAAGGAGATAAATAATAATACCGCATAAGTACTAAAATAACTTGAAATAATAATGAAATAAGGAATGAATAACGAATATAAATATGAAATGAAATGTGAAACGAATAAACAAATGCATAAATAAATCATAAAACGCTGCCAGGGAGACCTTCTCTCTCTCTCTCTCTCTCTTTGCCCACTTACATCTTGTCCTCAATGCAATAAACGGCCGAGGGCAGCGACTTGTTGGGCGCCTTCACCCGTGCCACCTTCTGCACCGTGGTCTCCAGCAAGCCTGGGGAAAGAAGACCAAGGGGAAAGCACACATCCAGTAATCTACACCGAGGAAAGGTGTGTGTGCAGGTCGAGATAAGGCTGAGTCAGAAAGGGTATCTCCTGCTTTGAACTCAGGGCGGCTGTCAGGATTCCGGCCGTTACCCCCCATTTAAATCCTGAGTCTCGAGCCAAACTTCCAAAGGATTTATTGGGGGCGAACATGTCCAGCACCGCCTGGGTGGAGCCGACTCTGAGACACACAATTCAATGTCACCCTTGACCCTGGTTTTCCCCCCACCCCCTGGGTGTATCGTAATTCATATTCTCCAATGGGACACCTCCATAGCCCAGAGTCATCAATCAGGCTCTCCAGGTAGAATTCTGCGGGGCAGAAACTTCAGTCCCCTAGTTACTATCTTTGAAAACATTTATGGAATGCAGTTTCAGTTTGCAAGCTGCTGCACTGCTCCCCCCCCCTTTTCCGCTGGCAACTCTAAAAAGACCACAGACATATTTGACGAGTGGACAGCACCACCCTGCTTACCTTTGTTCTGGCACAGCATCAAGGCGGCGGCCAGTCCCCGGTTGACGATGGGTTCCTCATCCAGGATGGTGGTGGACGAGGTGGAGAACTGCACACCAGAGCAAGACAGGTGGGATCACAGGTAAAAGACCTTCCAACAAGCCGACATCAAACCTCCTGGTTTCCTTGGCCAGCTGGGCCCCATGGGGTTGAGGGCTCTGAAGAGTTGAAGCCATTGCACCCTGGAGCAGCCTTTCCCAATCTCGGCTCCTTGGAAAGGCAGGGTGGACTACAACTCCCAGAGTCCCCCCGGGCAGCAGCGGGGAATTCTGGGACCTGAAGTCCACCCACCTGGAAGTGGCTGGGATGGAGAAGCGGTGACCTAGCGCAGGTGTTTCTCAACCGTGGCAACTTGGAAGGGGAGTGGACTTCAACTCCCAGCATCCCCAGCCAGCCCTTTGGAGACCTCCAGCCCACAAAACCCCACTTACATCCTGCTGGTGCTTCTCTTCATCCAGGTTGACCATGCTCCAACCGATGTTCTCCTCGCCGTCCGAGTCGGAGCCGCCGGTGGCTGACCTCTCGTCATCGCGTTCAAAGTCCTGAGGGAGGAGGGGGAGGAGGAAGAGGAGGGGGAGGAAGGAGGGGGAGAGACGTGAGGAAAGGCTGCCAGAAGGACCCTGGCTGGCCACGCAAGAAAACCAGTTTATGAACCAGTTGGAGCTTCCAGGTCCTCTCCAAGGGCAGCCCCACGTACAGCACATCACAGCATCAAGGCGGGAGGTGACCGCAGTGTGGGTGGACCGTGACCAATGCCCCTCCCCTCAAAAATGTCTCCCTCTCTACCCTGGCCTTAACCCAAACCAGTCTCCCTCGCCCCGGACCGTTTTACCAGAAGTTCTTCCTGCTCCTCCCGGTTCCCGGCCAGCCCGTAGGTGGGGATCTCCCCCAGTGTGCGGCAGAATTCGGAGGTGGCGTTAAAGACAATGGCCCCCTTCTTCTCGAGCTCAGCGTCGTCCTCCTGGCTCCGGCTGCGCCCCAGGGTCCGCACCATTTCAATCACCTGGAAAGGATGAGGGGTTAGCCACGGGGGGTCAACAAGGTTGACCTTGTGTTGTGGCCTGTCGACCGCCAACCTCTCCAGCAGCCAGATCAGAGGCGGAGGAGGAGGAGGAGGCCTGGGAGTCAGGGTCAGCATCAAGGCAACCTGGGAGGGAAGAGGGAATGGAGCTGGCAGAGAGAGAGAGAGAGGAAGAGAGAGGGAGAGGAAGAGAGAGAGAGAGAGAGAGGAAGAGAGAGGGGGAGGAAGAGAGAGGGGGAGGAAGAGAGAGGAAGAGAAAGGAAGAGAGGGAGGGGAAGAGAGAGAGAGAGAGGGAGGAAGAGAGAGGAAGAGAGAGAGGGGGAGAGAGAGGGGGGGGGGGAGAGAGAGAGGGGGAGAGAGAGAGAGAGAGAGAGAGAGAGCCTAGGCCATCCGTCAGCCCTCAGATGGAGAGTCAACCGCCCCCCAGGTCTGGAGGTGGCCGATGAGGAAGAGGAGGAACAGCCGAGTCGAGTGCCTGATGCGTGGATGCACAGAAGGCAGAGGAGAGGAGAGCAATGGAAATCTATGGGCCGGCCCCTTGGGAAGGAAGAGCCACTGCTCTGCTCCGAAAGCCCCACCCTAGCTGTGGGGATCAAAGGCAGGGGGTGGAGATCAATAGGTGTGGCAGACAACTATTCCTCCCCCTGCCAGTCCACCACCGATAGCCTGCACTTCCAAATCCTGTCTGGAAATTATCGGAATTCTTCTTGGAATCTGCAGCGCCTTCTGAGCGTGTGTGTGTCTCTCTGGTGCTGGAAGAAAGCGAGTGCACCTTCCAGGACTTCCTTTGCAAATGTGGGAAGAGAGAGAGAGAGAGAGAGAGAAACTCCTTGGGCCAGTTCAGGGGGAAAGGGAGCAAGCGTCCCTTTCCATAGAGACTTCCACTTCCATAGAGACTCTGTTAGCCTGCCGCGAGAGAGCGGCTGCTGGCGCTCCTAATAAAGGGAAAGGTTAGTTTGACACACAGGGCTTGTCGTGTTTGGGAGCCGGGTCAGAACCCCTTGTTCAAAGTCCAATGAACCCTTGGGGCAGTTTGAAATGTTGAGAGAGGGGCCCGGGACCAGCGAGAGGGGAGAGCCACTCTGTCGTGCCCCACCTCACAGGGCAAAGGCACCCCTGACCCCCCCCATGTGGGGGGGGGGGGGGGGGCAGAGCTCCGGCCTCCTTTGCACGCCCCTCACCTTTTCACCGCTGTCCTTCAACTGCTGGATCTGCCTCAGCTTCCGCCCTTTCTCCAGCTGTTTCTGCAGCTCCACCTCGGCCTCATCTTCCTCCAGGACAGCGGGAGAGTCGGGGTCTTCCATGGCTTCCTCTGGCCACACAGGGAAAGACAGGCCGGTTGGAACTGAACTCTCCTCTCCTCAGCCCTAGAGCCGTGAGGGCCAACCATGCGTTCCACAGGTGCCACACAGGTGGCCCATTTGTGCCAGCACTTGAGCGGCAGGCAAACTTTCCTCACTGCGCAGGCGTGGCCCTCACAGCTGATGTTCGGCCTCCCAGAGGCTTCTGCAGAATTTGCAGGCCAAAAACTAGGGCCATTTCGTCACTTCCTCTTTTTCCGGAAATACCAGAAGTGGCGAAACAGGGCTACTTTTCGGCCTACGAAGCCTGCGGAAGCCTCTGGGAGGCCGAAAAAGGCCTCGAACCGGCCGAAAATCAGCTGTCAGGTGCAGGTAAGGGGGCAGCAGGGGTAGGGATCGCGCGTGCATGCGTAGGGGGCGTGGGAGGGGCACGCATTGCCTTCTGGGTGCTGGGTCCTCATTTTATTGACCTCGGAAAGACGGAAGGCTGAGTCAACCTTGAACCAGTCAGGATCAAACTGCTGGCAGAGGGCAGAATTAGCCTGCAACCACCATGGCTCTTACATCAAGATTTAATCCACTCCAAATTTAATCTTGCTTCCCCACCAAGCACCTTAACTTCAGCCATCCTCACCATCCTCACTGCTGATCTCCATTTTTTCTACACGGATGTCGTCTGACTGGATCAGCTGCTCTCCTGCTCCGTTTCTGCTGGTGACCAGGGATCCCTCCTCCTCCTCTTCCTCCTTCTCCTCTTCTTCCTCTTTCACGGGCGCTCGCCGTTTACCCCGGCCCCGGGTCCTAGGGAGGCAGGACAAAGTAGGGTCAGGCCTGACAAGAAGCGGGCTGAAGAGGCTTCCCCCCCGTGATCCAGATGGGGCTGACCTGGATTAAGGCCTTAACACAGTTAAACACCGTTAACTGACCCCACGCTGGCTCAGGAGTTTGGGTGAACATGGCTCCTGGGATCAAGCACCCCACCCCCCCGTGCGCGCGAGGGAGAGAACGGCACGGAGGCACAACTGTGCCCCAAAGCAAAGCTTTGTGGCCCAAAACAACACAACAGCGGGCATGGAAGGGCAGCTACACAGTGGCTGGGTTCACACAGGTTTCACTGTTTAGGGAAGATGAGTGTCAACTTAAAAAAAAAAAAAAGATACTCCTTTGGTCTTTTTAGCTGCCAGTAGAAAGGGAGTGGGGGGAGAAAGCAGTGCATTCCTTAAATGCCTCAGATAATCGCCTTGGCAGCCGAAGCTGTTGGCACGCAAGATTATTACTGGAGAGCATGATTGAAGACTCTTGGCTATGGATGTGTCCCATTGGAGAATATACATCCAGGGGGTGGGGGGAAGACCAAGGGTCAAGGGGGGAAATGAAGGATGTGTCTTCGAGTCGGCTGCACCCAGGTAACACCGACATGGTCACTCCTAATAAATCATTTTTTACTCTGAGAAATGCGGCTGGAGGATTTAGGATTTGAACGGGGGTGGATTTGTTGGGAGCCCTGACAGCCAGGCGACCTCGCGGTCCAATTGTGCAAACTCGAACGTGGGAGGGGGGATTCCCAAGACAGCGAGTGGGATTTCAAAGCAGCAGGCTCTGGGGCCCTCCACCCTCCCTCCGGGGGCCGCCTGCTACCAGTTCGCCCAGGGCTAATTTTATAGTTTTTAATTACCAATTCGGCAAACGGGTAAATCCCACCCGTGGCTGTCACCACCCACTGCGCCCCTCCCCTCCCCCCGAGTCCCCAAGCAGCCCATTTTAGATGCCAGGTAAGGGCAGGAGGTCCAGGGAGGCTCCAGAAGGCTGGAAACGAGCCAGTTTACGACCTCTGGACGGCCTCCGGGGCCCAGGGAGAGCAAAAATGCCCCCCCCCCCCCCGCCCCGCCCGTGGTGCAGGAGGCTGCCTAGGCCACACCCAGCCAGCCAGCAACCGGGTAGAGAACCCATTGCTAAAATTGTAGAAGCTGCCCCCCTGCCTCCCTCCACCCCATCCCTGCCCCACACATGGCTGACTCTCTGACCTGGACCCGAAATCCTGCTCGCTGCTCTCGATGCCAAAGGGCAGCAGGTCCTCGGCCTTCATCGGCTTCTCCTTCTTGCGTATCTTCTTCACCCGTCGCTTCGTCTTCTTGAAAGTAGTCTGCGGGCCGGAGGGAAGAAAGAAGGGGGGGGGGAAGGAAGGCAGGCTAAGAGTCTGGCCGGACGGTCCTTTGGACCGAGCCCCACTACTACGACCCAAACGGCCCTGGCTGGCCCCCGCCTCCCAGCCCCTCCGAGGTGGGGAAGCCAGGCAGCCTGGAGAACCCCATCCGGGCCGGGCCCCTTTCTCCGCCACCCCAGAGTTTTTCCCTCCGGCTGTCAAGACTCCGGGGTCTGCCCCCGCCCCCAGGACCGAGTAGAGAGGGTGGGGAGGGGGTGTTCACCCACCCTACCATCTCTTCGGGGGTGTAGTACTCCGAGGCCAGGTGGAGGTTGGGCAGGTCCAGCGACTGGGCCCGAATCTGCAGGCTGTCCCGGATGGCCTGCAGCTCCCGTTCCCGGGAGCCGTCCGCCATGCCCACCGCGTCCAGCTTGAAGGACTTCTTCCTCTCCCCTTCGATCTCTTCGTCGTACTTGGAGAGGACGCCTTTGCGCTTGAACTGAGGGCAGAAAGCGAGGGTCACACAGGGTTTGGGGGGGGGGGGGGGGGGGGGGGGAGACACAAACTTAAGGCAACCAGCTGGACTCTGTCGTGGCCCGTCAGCGGCCAGTGGAGCTGGCGGCAGACTCGGACAGTGAGGAAATGGGCCAGTCCTGGAGTCGGGGGAAGGCTCGGACGAGGGCTCTGCATCGGAGGTAGAGATGGGGCCAGAGCTGTCCGACGGTTATCAACTGTCTTCAGAGTCGGAGATCAGTGGGGAAGAAGAACAGCTGGAGCCTGTTCCCAGTGTGCTCATGCACAGAGCTGCCAGACCAAGGGAACAGCTGAGGAACAAGGGTTGACTTGGGAGTAAAGGCTCAGGTGGACGGTGAATAGCCCCTCCCATAGGGAATAAAGAGGAGCGAAAGGGGAGTGGGTGTTTGCAGGAGACAATTAGTTCATTTAATGAGTGTGAAGATTTGTTCCTGACCCCTTGCTAAGTAATTGCTGCTACAGCATGGCATTTGGAAGCTATCGGCCTGGCAACTCTCCAAGCCTGACAAAGATCTGTAGTTGTAAATCACTCTTGAGAGACCGTTTGCCGGGACTTTGCTGGAGAGGAATTCACTTTAACCTAAGCAAAAGGGGTTTTATCGGGACGAGGGGTCGGCTTCATGATCTTGGGAAGGTCTAGGTCAGAACAGACTCTGCCTTTTCACCCAAAACTTGGTAGCAGATCCAGCCAGAAAGCACCATTTGCAAACCCAAAGGCTGGATTCACACCCAAATTAAACAAACCATGTTATACGCAACAATGACAGTTTGCCTGTCCCATTACACCCGGAAGACAGGGCTGGCTGTGGGTTCCCTCTGTGAGGGGTTCATGTTTGAGCCACTTGTGGTTAGAATGCAGGATTGAGGATTAACTCACTCACTGCCCACTGCCAGCACTTCGATCCTGACTGGCTCAAGGTCGACGCAGCCTTCCCTCCTTCCGAGGTGGGTAAAATTGAGAACCCAGGTTGTTGGGGGCAAATAGGCTGACTCCGTAAACGGCTTAGAGGGGGCTGGAAAGCGGGATATAAGTCTAAGTGCTACTGCTATTGCCCTCCCTCCCTGTGATTAGAATACAGAATTGCAAGCAAACTCTTCCCACAGTTGGGAGTTTGATCCTGACCGGCTCAAGATCATCCTTCCGTCTTTCCGAGGTGGGTAAAATGAGGACCCGGATTGTTGGGGGCAAGAGGCTGACTCTGTAAACAACTTAGGAGGGCTGTAAAACTCTGTAAAAATATATATAAGTCTAAGTGCTATTGCTACCTTCCTGCTTTTCCCATTTC